CGTCATTGGAAATTGGTGGCGCCCGAACTTTGATCCTCCGAGAGTACGAGAATAATTTTTTTTCCTAGTCCAGTTACTGAACCATGACATAGAACGTGCATTGTGTATTCGAGTGTATTCGATTGCGTTCACCAAAACCGCGGGACCGGAAAAGACAGGGGGAGGGGAAGACGGGGCTAGTGCGAGGAATAAAGGATGCAGGGGTAAAAACATTGCGAATTCAACCTTGTGTAGATGCATTCATTGAACATTTTGGATTGCTTTCAAGATACTGATTCATTTTACTGTTGCTCAGTCACATCCTTATGCATTTCAGTACCCGTATATCCCCGCACATGTGACGAAGCCGAAGGAGCAAACGAAGTTATTCCTGGTACAACTTCCAGAACGGGCACTCTTTGCTGTGCCAAAGAATTACAAGCTGGTTGCGGCGCCACTGTTTGAGCTTTATGACAATTCAAACGGATACGGCAACTTGATAGCAAGCCTACCGCAAGTGCTCAGCAGGTATGCTCTGGATTTGTAGAGTCCTTAATGCCATTACTTAACGAATAACATGAATGAGATTATCAGGCTTCAGAATAGTCGGCGAGTTTATGTAGCACCGGTGCCGGATTGCTGTTTTAATTCAGTTTTGTGAACTATCAATGGTAGGGGCATTCGCAGCAACATAGTCGGTTATCATAACGGTAAAAAAACTGGGGCATTGAATGAGAAATGGCATGAGATCACCGATGAATGAAGTTTTATCAGCAATCGGCTAAGTGGCGAAATCCCCCTTGTACTAGTAGCAGCCATCCCCCTGGCATGGAAGCTCCCTTTTTTGTTGCCAGTTTATAACTTTTAACAGTATCAGTTTATCATCGAAGCACTTGAAAGCCGATTCATAGAGAAATTGATTGCCCACTGACGGAATTGAATCTCCAACTTTCAATGCGAGTACAAGCCACTGCGCTAAAATAGACTGTTTTTTCTAAAAAAAAATTTTTCATTAGTAATCCGCATTATTGACTGAAACTGTGTATTTTTTCAGATTCAACTTTCTATATACGCCGTAAATGAAAAAAAAAATATTGGAAATGCTGAAATTGTTTTTTTTTGGCATGCTGCAAATAATATCTCAGTTGTTTGTAAAACGTTGCAATTCATTTCTAAAAATTCTGATGTTGTGAATGTTATGTTGATGTTGCCAACTTGTGCTGTTTCTGACTAATCGATTTTTGACTCGTTACTATTCGGAAGTTTTGTATGTTATGAAATATGTTTTGAATTCTCTTTTGTATGAATTTACGTTTTCCATCTGTCGAAGATCTCAAAAGTTTGAGATTTGATCACAGGTTCTAGTAAGCCGTGATGTTTGGTCTCGGAACAGTTGTTTTTGTGAATGTGGCAGCATCTTTTAGACAACTAACTCATCACAAATCTACTTTTCAATGTCAGAATCCTTGATTTTTCGATTTCTCATGTATTTCAAGCTACGACATGCAACAGAGTGGCAGTTGGATGTAGAAAAATAAGTACGCCACGGACAATATGGTGAGGATCCGATGTTACTGGTGTACTTCCTCGGATGCAGCTACGCTGGGCCTTTCCATCCTGAGCTGTAGCCGTTGGTCACTAGTTGGATAGGGAGGTGTCAAAAGACAGAAGCGGATGGGAAATTAATACGGGAACCAGCTGCAGCGTGTATTAGGCTATTTCTTGGAAGGGAACGACATTTAGGCAGTCAGTAAATAATGCTTTTAGATAGAGATTACGCGAAATAATTAAATTTTAAAGGTTCTAAATGATAGAAGTGA